GCTTTGGAAGTTTATTTATTTATTATTTGCAGGATGCTTCTGGCTATGCATTTGGTTTCCTTACATTATAAGGATGTCAGATCTTTGGTTCTTCTTCAGTCTGTTGTTGGGGAAACTATTCAAGAAATGTGCTCACTTCATCTAAATTGCAATGTTTATCAACACCAAGTAGCTCACAATACTCCCTCATCACCCTTTCACAGCTGTAGGCTCCATGGTGATATTCTGTAGTTCATACATCATGATGCTATTTTCTGCTTACTCTGCTTCCCGTTCAGTCTACCTGAGTTTTGCTGATTGTAACCTAAACAGCTTTTGGTTTCAATGATTTTTCTCCAGTTTCTCTCTCTCTCTCTCTCTCTCTCTCTCTCTCTCTCTCTCTCCCATTGAACCCAGGGCCTCCTACATGACAAGTAAGCTCTATACCAAGTCATGTCCATAGCCCTCCAATTATTTCTTCACTGTTAGCTACTATAGGCTTGACTCTCTTCTTTCCTGTCTAAAGGTAGATGCTTACACCACTAATTTACAACTTTCTGCTTTTTAATAATATTACATGAAGTTTTTTTTTTTTCTTAAATAGCCCTGTGGAGAGCTGAGGAAGCCCTGAGTGAATGTGTGTTACTAACATGGGCACAGATATGTAATGGACACCAATGCCCCAGACTCACGACAATTGGCAGAACCTTTCTCTGGGTGAAGCTCAGAGGGACGGAGAAGCATCACTTTGGTCCAAACACAAGGATTTACCAAGGACTGACCTACAGGATGTTCAAGAACTAGCAACTGTGGCCTCTTCCTTACAAATGGCTGCAATCTGAGACTGCTCCCCTACGGAGCCCTCCTACCAAGGCTAGCTAAGTCCTCCTCATGCACTGCATCATAAACTCTCTGAGGTTTTAGGCTACTGAATTGGAGAGTGAACACAGCCCACCTCAGCCCAGCTTTTCTGTATGTGTGTCTCGTCTTCATTTTCTCATCACCCTAGCCAGGCTTCCAGGACTACGTTCGCAGGATCAGTTGCAGAATCAGTAAGACACATGTGTATGTCTGCATGCAGCATAGAGACACACACAGGTGCATCTGTGCACTGATAAGACTTTAAAGCACTGGCTTGTGTAATTATGGAGAAGCAAGGCTGAATTCTTCAGGGGGCAGGCAGACCGCGGTCCAGGTCATGCTACTGCTGCTGCAGTTGGCATCCAAAAGGCAGCATAGAATCCATCCTAGCAAGGCCTCAGTCTTTTTCTCCTAAGTCCCTCAGGCAACTGTTTGAGGCCTACCACATAACAGGGAAATGCACTCTGTGTCTACTGAATCAGATCCTAATATTACTGATGAAGTACCTTCCCAACAATTAGGCTGGTAACTGACAAACATCTGGGGTACCTGGGCCTGGTCAAGTGGAGTCACACAATTAACCTGCACACTCACGGAGGCATCTAAAGCACCACATTCTTTCCCATCATGCTTGGGCTACAACCCACAAACTGTCAGATTGTATTTTCATTACTAGTCAATTCAAAGACCCAGGAGTTTATATAGAAGTGTGTTGTTTAATCTTTAAATATTTGGGAGTCCTCTATATTTTCTTTCTTTCTTTTTTTGTGGGACAGTTTCAATTCTTTAGCATCAAAGATTATTTTACAGTCTAGCATGCCAGCATGCTGTCTATTGTGATCAAAAGAATTTGTATACTGACCTATTAGAATGTGGAGCTTTCTTGGAGGAAGCAGGTTGCTGGAGGTGGGGTGGGGTGGGAGAGTATGCCTCTGAAGGGTTTAGATTGTCCCTGGCTCCTTCTTAACCATCTCTCTGTCTGCCATGAGGTGAGCCACCCTGCTCACCATGCGCACGACCACAACCAACAGCCAAGTGACTATAGACTAAAGCCTCTGAAATTATGAACCAGAAGAAATCCTCCCTCCCTCCATTTTTTGTGGCTTTTTAAAACTTTAAATTAAAAACAATCTTATTTTATATGCTGCTCCCAGTTCCCTCTCCCTCCCATCCTCCCATGCCCCCCACTAATCCGCCATCCCCTCCCCTGGGAGGGTGAGGCTTCCCATGGGGGGTCATCAAAGTCTGTACATCATTTGGGGCAGGGCCTAAGTGCTCCCCCATGTATCTAGGCTGAGAGAGTATCCGTCCATGGGGAATGGGCTCCCCAAGTCCGTGCACTAGGGATAAATACTGGTTCCACTGCCAGAGGTTCCATAGACTGCCCTTGCCTCCCAACTGACACCCACGTTCAGGGGGCCTGGTTTGGTCCTATGCTGGTTCCCCAGCTGTCAGACTGGGGTTCATGCGCTCCCACTTGCTCAGGCCAGCTGTTTCTGTGGGTTTCCACAGCCTGGTCTTGACCCCTTTGCTCATCACTCCTCCCTCTCTACAACTGGATTCCAGGAGTTCCACTCAGTGCTTAGCTGTGGGTGTCTGCTTCTGCTTCCATCAGCTACTGGGTGAAGGCTCTAGGATGGCACTTAAGGTAGTCATCAATCTCACTATAGAGGAAGGACATTAAAGGTAGCCTTTTGTCACAGTGATAAAAAGCAACTAAGACACAGGGAGCAGAGGAACTCTGGCCCTAAGGTGACTCTGGTCACCCTAAAGCTGGAGATGTTTGATGTCCAGTGTGGTTTCACCACTTGGGATGGTAGGGACTCCACTGTCCCCAAAACCTGTGCTTCTGGAATCACCAAATTTGCTCAATGCCTTCCAATTGTTACCCTCAGAATTACCTTGCAGTATTTTGCCCTGCACAAACCCAGCTTGATGCTTGACCAAACATACTCCTTTGTAGATTTCTGGAGGTTTCTCTCAGCGGCTATCTCCTCCCTAGGTCCCTGCCCCATGAACTGTCTCACAGCTGATTTCTGGGCAGACTGCTGCTCTCTGGGCTTGTCTTTAGTTGCTACTGGGAGTCTACAGAAAAACAATGGGGGAGGTGGTAGAATACAGAGCTCAGTTTTGGGCTTCTCTCCCTTCAAGCATCACAGTCCCACACTGTCCATGCTTGATGCAAAAAACCCAGTTGCTTTAATTCATTACCTAGTTCTCTTGCTCTCGGTGGCAGAAGGAGTAAATCTGAGATCCACAACTCACCAGCTCAGAGTGTTCATTCTTACATAACCCCTTTGATCTGGACTCTGTCTAGATAATTATCAATTCTCCAAAGACCAAGGCTCTCTCCCCCAGGCAGGCTGTAGCCTCTATTAGCAACACCTGCCTCATTCCAACCACTTCCTGGTTCCTACTTGTCTTTCTGAATCAGCTTACCTATCACTTATTTTAGTACTTCGCTCTCATGTTCCCATAGCAACCTGAGTCGTTCCCCCCCCACTACCACCATCAAGGACATTATAAAATTTTATTAGTCTCCTACTGAACAGAAACTGTATCTGCCTGTTGGATCCTAAGTTCTGTGACAGCAGTGTGTGAATTATCCTGCTTCATTTTCATAAACATTAGTCACTTGCTATTATGCCACCTATGAAAAGGCCGACTAAAGATTTGGGCTAGTAAAAATACCGGATAAACCTGCTTTTATGACAGCCAGAGGGAATTGACTTGAAATTCTGTTCTAATAATTAGTAACCAATCCACACAGTCTGCTTATATGGCTCTGGCTGTCCTGAATTGCACTCGAACGATAAAACAGCCATGGCCCATTTTCTCATCTCAGTCAGCTGCTTCCCTCTCCATTCTCTGGTGCCTGTACCAACTGAACTATATCCACCTATGTATATGCACACAGCACAGTACACATCCATTTACATATTTATGGATGCAGTGGTACCACATACATCATCAAGCTCACATCTCAAGGCTATATAATTTTTTTGACATTTTCACAAGCCCTATTTCCGGAATATTCAGAATGAGGTTTCAGCTCTGAGAGACATTTTTCTGAGGAGGGGCACTGGGGAGTGGAATTATGTTCTCACACTGTATATAAAACCTTAGTAATGACATCTCAAGTACAATCCTGACTCAGGGTAACCGAGAAAAAAAAAAAAAAAGCTCAAACTAAACAAGTTGGACTTCTTTAATTAACACAGTGGCTAATGCCAGGTGTTCAACACAGGCACCGGCAAACAGAAGCAACTAGCCTAGCCAGGAGTGCTAAATCAAACTGCAATGTGTATATTTGATTCAAGGTGAGAGATGTGCACAGATTTCTAAACAGTAATTCAACTGGAAAGAGAATTTAGACTATACTACATGCAAGAGCCCACTAAAGATAACATAATAAATACTTTAAGTCCCCAAAAGTTATTTTAAAGCAAAGTTAAAAGCAAAATAACAAACAGAAACAAAGGCCACTTTCCTTTTTTAGAAAGAGAGAGAGGTCAAGCTCTAGAAAGAGAGAGAATATTACTTAAAAGACGATGGGAAAAAGAGTAAATGGAACTGAAAACTATCCAGTAGGATGCTGAAGCAAAGTGTGCGCTTTTTTCCTTCCTCCCTTCCTTTCTTTTTCTTTTTTAATTTGGAGACAAGAACTTTCTGATCTCAAACTAACCATCTTTCTTCCTCAGCTAGGTAGGGATCAGAGTTGTAGGCCACCACAATCCTAATTCTTCAGATTTTGAGTCGGCAATTCAGGTTTTCTTTCCTATAACAAATCACCAATAGCCTCTTCCCGGGATTCAGGCTCAAACACCTCCTTTATGTAACAGAAACAGCCACTTCTTTATAGTAAAATAGTTTGGCTAGACTCTTCTCTGGTAGAAGGGTGATGAATTAGTGAGGGTTGGAGGGAACTAGACCCATCATCCAAAACAAACAAATACAGAATAAACCTAACATACACAGCTTCGACAAGCCTTGGGTGGTCCCTAGTACAACTCGGTGAGAAGCTGCATTATCTACATAGGTTTCCCTCTCAGTCTATAACTAATGGACACATCATAGTTCTGAAAGGCAAAACTGTATTATTGCATCTGAGTATCAGGAATTTAGAAGGGGGTAACTAAAATTATAAAGCTGTGTCTCACCATTGATGTCACCACCAAGGCTGGAGAAAATCCCATTGTGAGATAGAAGAAAAGTTCAACCACTTTATACCTGCAGGAACACAAAAGGAGTTGGACACACATTCCAGGGATGCTTAGATCATGCACATGCCAGCTTCCCCTTTCTTCATTTTGAAAGAGAAATAGAAGCTTTGAAACTACTCAAAGAATTCAGTTCCCAGAAGGTTGAGCTCAGTTAACCACTGAGCTTCTCTCTAATATGCCAAACTAGGTAATGAGGAGGTAGGTAACATTTCTTCTAGGATGAAAAGGAAGTAAATTGACCCAGGCTGCCTAGAACAGGTATACCATAAAAGCTAGTTGTAATCTAGTCCAGTACACTATTTTTCCCTTTCTCAGCTGGGGTTGGTCCACCACCAGTTCCATCCAGAGTTAGAAGGAACAGGTGGAAACACAACTTTCTTCAGGGTTGGAGTAGCAGCCACAGTAAATGATGTGTTGCCTGTTTTCTCTTCATTTTGCATGTTTATTTCCAGTCTTATCCCATCAAGCTTCAGGACGTCTGAGATCTCTAACTCCAGGGGAGGAAGAATGGGCCCCAGAGCTCAGTTTACCAGAAAGACCTGTGTTTACTCACTATGCTGTCTGGAGGGTATCACCTGGGAGTGTGAATCAAAGAAGCAAATGTCTCTTGGATTGACATGCATTACATAATACATTTAGTGTTCATTACATTCAAAGGGTACTTGGAGTCAGGTGTCTGCCATAAGCTCAGCATCAATATGTCTATTTGGTATTCTTTATTTAGATATGGTTTTGGTGACTGTGTTTGTAAACCTCATGGGTGTGGCTTCTGACATTCCCGGAGACACAATCTCATAGCAAAGTTTGTTTTCTTTTGGCTCTTACTAAGAACGTCCCAAATGATACATTTCTTCCTTCCTTCCTTTCTTCCTTCCTTTCTTTCTTTCTTCTTTCCTTCCTTCCTTCCTTCCTTCCTTCCTTCCCCTCCTCCTCCTCCTCCTCCTCCTCCTCCTTCTTCTTCCTCCTCTCTCTCTCTCTTTGGTTTTTTGAGACACGGTTTCTTTATGGCTTTGGAAGCTGTCCTGGAACTAGCTCTGTAAACCAGGCTGGTCTCGAACTCACAGAGATCTGCCTGCCTCTGAGTGCTGGGACTAAAAGTGTGTGCCACCACCACCCAGCCCAAATGGTACTTATCAATATGCCTTTGTTTATATCGCTTATACTTTTGACTACAGCTGTGCGTGGTGGGTGGGGAGTGAGAGCTGTGTCCAGTGTTAGCTTCTTTTCTCAAATATTCTCCAGATTTCTATCTAGGTAAGTTTTGTTCTGTGACACTTAAAATTGGTTATCCTTGATCACCATGGAAACTGAAAGAAGGTCATTTTCCATATGAGTTTTCTATGAAATAGATGGGGCTAGCTTGCCTCTGGATGAGAAATGAGGCACCCCCCACAGCTCTAAAATGACTGGTCGAATTGTCTTTCAACCTAATCATGACATACAGGTGCCATTTATGCCTTCCCACCCCTACCTGTCCAGCAATAGTGAATACCAAATGGAGGTAAAGATTTACTAAAAGCAATATATTTTCTATTTATGTATTTCTACTATTTTGAGGCATAAGGACAAAGGGAACTGCATTGTAACACAGGAATAATTTAGGCAGTTAATTGTTAAGCCATCAAATGGAAGTGATTTTTCTCTTACTTTTCATGGTAGAGAAATACATAAATGGTTCCTCCAGCTGCCATGAGCCAGATAAACCAACGCATATGAGATGCCAGGGGTCCAAGTTCACGGAGATTTAACCTACAAATGTAAATGACAACAAAGGGGTAAATGACAGGAATTCAGAGCCCATGCTCTCCTAGTAACACCAAACAGAAAACAATAGGGTAACAGTCCCACAATACAGCAAGGAGGCATTTGGGAAGTCTGGGTGAAATTAATCATCCAAAGGTAAGACTGTTGTCAAATTTTCATATTAGGAATTAAGCACAATTTAAAAACAGCACCAGTTAAAAACAGACATGCCAGGATGCCTGTTGAGCCTGACTTTCCCTAGCAGGACCCACTGAAGCAAAGACTGCTGGCTGTTTTATTTCTGACCAAGCTTCTGGAATGCTTACCAAGCTTATTGAGAACTCAGAATAAAACCCTGAACCGGGATCACATACCCACAGTAGATACCTAATATATACATTTTTAGCAACCTCTGCCAAGACAGAGCACGAGGAGAACTCCTCTAGCATGTGCTATGGGATGTGTCTTGTCACAGTTCAACATACCACAACATCAAGTGCCCTGGTATATTAAGAATAAATATGAAAAAAGAGTTCAGTTTAGCTATAGCCATAAAATTAATATTTGCAAATAGAAAATTAACTACAGACCTATCTAAAACTACATGGGAACAAATTCTCTACTCTGCGTGTGACTGTTCAGTTCACATTGAATTCTTGTTATATATTTACTTAAATTGCTTCACAAAAGCTTTTAAGCACGCTTGCTCTTATATGAATCAGACCTATAATTTAGTGAGAGGTACTGGGGAGGCCTTGCACTTCTTTTTATTCCAACAGATAATTACATTTCTTTTGAGTGACTGAGCCTGCATGAGCCAGATTCTAGAGGCCTGCTGTTTCTATTGACTACAGCCATGGATGGCTCAATAGGGCATTCTGCGTTTTTAAAACTGGACCAGCTCTTAATAGAGGAAAACTAAAGTTTCTTTAATTATGGCCTTTAAAGCAACAAGAGGCTGCATTTGACCTGTGTCTGAAGGGCAGTAAGATCAAGAGGACTGCACAGGAGACTACATATTTTAAGCAGTTAACTAGTTTGGTTACTTACTTAGCAAAAGAAATGAGAAATGTACAGCTATACACTAGCAGTAGGGTGAGCAGAAACAGTGCAAATTGCAAAAGGAAGATTGCTTTCCCTCATGCGTATTGACAGCACTTCCATTTGCCAAATTTCATTTTCAAATATTCCAAAAAGCAGCAGAGATAGATGGAAAGAAGATGGAGGGGGGGAGAGGGAGCCTGCTAGCTACACCCAAGTCTGCAGCACCTCTGAAACGATCCCATGTCAGACAGTCCTTCCAAATAATGTAACCAAGTAAATCAAATTGGGTGGTGGTGGGGTGCAAATGTGTCCGCATTGTGGGAGGGGCAGAGTACATGCAGGAGGGCTGCAGGGCAGGATGGAGAAGAAGAGAGGAAAGGAGCGGGGACTTGTAGTCATTAAGAGGCTTTTCCAGAGCCCTCGGATTCTGTCTCACCATGGAGTGTAGGAAGCAGCAATGAAGAAATAGATGACCATCCTGTCACACATGTGGAAACAATGCTCCACCGTCCTGTGGGAGGAAGTCAATAAGTCAGGCAAATTTGTCAAAACTTTCCGACAGGGCTATCACTCTACAAGGCCACCATTTCCATGTGCTTGTTTCATTTTTTCATGGCACTCATAACTCGCCCTTCAAAGCTACGGCTCTCCCTTTTAATGACAGGGAGCCACAGTAAAAGCTGTATATTTTTAGGCTATCCACGCCACAGGCATGAGACAGTAGAACCCCCACGACACTCAGATGAGGTGAGTTTCCTTTTCTTTTGGAAGATGAAATTCTGAGAGGGCAGACCACTGCCTGGGTGCTATTACAGAACAGAGCTCAGTCCTAGTGCTCAGCTAGCATGCCCCAGCTGAGAGCACATCCTTTCTCTAAATGTCTGTTTTCTTTTTTTGACAATTTCACATACATACATAACACATTCTGTCATACTATTTTCTCTATCTCTTACCAGCTCCAACATCTCTCCCTTCCTTCTCCTAGGTCCCTATCCCATGTTCAAGTCTTTTGTTTTTGCTGACTTCATATTCTTGTGTTTTGTTTTGCTTTGATACATCTTTAACTTCAAACATGTCAGGGTAGTGGTAATAAGGGAAAAATCAGTAATTTAGAGCCAGCAATAACAAACATAGGTACGGCGTATTTGCTGTGGAAGGGTAGCCATTGTATTTCTAGATTGGCCCAGAGTCAAAGCCAGGAGTGTATATACAAAGATCCGAGTCACTGAGGTTGACTCACAAAACGTCAGGAAGACCCAGTATTTTGGTGGAGGTCATTTAAAATTATAAACGCAGGGGGCTGGTGAGATGGTTCAGCAGTTAAGAGTGCATACTGCTCTTCCATGGGATCTGTTCTTCCAAAGGACCTGCATTTGGTTCCCAGCACCCATATCAGGCAGCTCATACCCAACAGATTCAGGGAATCTGATGTCTTCTTCTGGCCTCTGTCAGCACACACAAGGCATATATTAACACACAGGTGCATACATACATATAAATAATGTTTTTAAATATAAATTAATAAATAAATATATAAATACAGAGGATGGTCTTTATTATTTTGCTTTGAGACAAGGCCTCATGTAGCCCAGGCTAGCCTGGAACTTGTTACGTAGCTAAGGCTGGGCCTGAACTCTTGATCCTCTTGCCTACCCCAGTCACAGTTCTGGGATTACAGGCATGTGCTATAATGCCTGGACCCACGACATTATTTCAAGTCTATTTTTGGTTTGTAGGATGTAAAAGCTATCTATTGTGGAGCTTCAGCACTCAGCAGAGCCTCACTATACACACCGCTGGGCAAAGCAGATTGATAAGGATGTGTGAATGCCTAAGTAAAAACTATTACTTGTGAAGAAGCATGGTGCAGAAGCTGCAGTTTATTCCCTGCTAATTGAGCTGCAGGTCTAATGAAGCAAACATCGACTCGAACTTCTTCACCTCTAAGGATCACCAAGGAATAAAGGTAGCCGTGGACTCACGGATGCAAGATTCTACTTTGAAAGGGCTGGGAAAACAGGGTAGAGGAGGAAACTGAAGGTGTTTCATTTCTTGTTTTGAACTCCTGAGATGATTTTGATTCCTAGCAAGGCTTGAGGAGTCTCTAATTCTGCTTTCTAGACATGGTTAGGGCAGATATTCAAACCAGCAGCTAGCCCTTTGTGACACAGGTCTGTGATCTCAGCTACTGAAAGGCTGAAGCAGGATGATATTAAGGTTAAGGTCTACCTGGGACACACGGTGAGTTCAAGACTATCCTGAGTATCAAATACAATGTGTTCTCAAAAGAAAAAGTAAAAAGCGGGCTGGGGATGTGGCTCAATGGCAGAGCACTTGCCGAGCACACATGAAATCCTAGAGTCAGTCCCCAATACCACGTCTCCACCAAACAAAAAAGCTCCACCGGCCGTCATTCTGACTCACACCATCTCACAAAAAGGGGACCATCTGAGCACACAGAACACCCAATGTGGTAAATGTAGGCTGTAGAGTGCCCAGCACAAACTTGGAAATTGGCACTTTCCTTCTCTCTCCTAGTTCTGACTTTTTTGGGCATTTAAAAAATAGTGACTGAATGCTGAGCAAAAACAAACAAACAAAAAACCCCAATGTTATGGTTTGTGATTCTAGCAATGCTCTTTCAAGGTTCAATTTGAGAGTCTTGTTTCCATTATACCTTCTCTCTAGCCTCTGCCAGGGAGGCGCCTAATACTGAAGTAGGCATCTACAACTCTTTATTGATTCAGAAATCTAGACATCAGAGCCAAGTGAGCTGAGGCAACCACAAGCATCAGGCTGTGCCAAGGAGATAATGAAGTACTCTGCCTCCATGCGGGCCTCTGGGTCCTATGACTGTGTCCCGGGAAGCCAGCAGAGGTACTTTTGTGACTCTCCAACAAGTATGTCCCACAGTGCCCTTGTGGTTCAGTGCTGTGGTTTTCTTTTAATCCTAGGGAACTGTCACTTTATAGGGAACGGTAGCAGAGAGCAAGCTTCATGCAGTATTTTAATGACACGCTGAAAAAAGGCCAAGGCAGAGTTATGGTCCTCTCTCCAAGCCTGCCTCCTCGCTAGTAGTGGGTTTTGTTGTTTGCTTTGTTTTGTTGAGACAAGAGTCTCACTCTGTAGCTCACTGGAACTCACTATGTAATCCAGGCTGGCCTCAACTACATGACATTTTCCCATGTACTGAAGTCCTGGAATTGTAAGTATGAGTGTCATTGTGTCAGGGGAGACTTTTTTTTTTTTTTTTTTTTTGACAGTTTATGAAACCAACGGTATTTTCTTACATTTCTATTTAGAAGCCCAGTCTCATTTACATAGCTCAAACTGGCCCCAAACTTCTGATCTTCGCACTTCTGCTTCCTTCACGCTAGGACTACAGGCATGTGCCACCATGCCCAGCTCGATTTCCCACTCCTCTGAATGACCTGTCACCTGCTCCAAGTCTTGCGCTTTTCTGAAAAGTGTTTACCTCTTTGGAGTTTGAGCTACTCAAGCAATGAATGTTTTATTTGGCAAGCATTCATTTTCACATGCTCTGGCCTCCTGTCTAATAGTAACAAATATAAACACTTTCACTTTCTTATTGATAGGCCTTGCAAGGACCACCGTATAGTTTGGAAAGCACCTCCCAGTTAATCTTCACTACCACGGATCTCCTGCTCGCCTTGTCCAACACTTGTCAACTTATTTTCCAATTTACCACCTTATTCACTTTATTGCATCATAATAACTTATATTATGAGGCAGCATAATAACCTCCAGTTTCATAATGAAGAAACCTTGGGTGAGGTGGAATTACTTACTCAAGGTTAAATCCAGGAGGATTGGGGCGCAAAGTTCAGTGTCCTTGCCCAGCCACAGCCATGGCTGTCCTGGCATTTCTGGTGTGCATGAGAGAACTAGAAACTAACTCTCAGGATTTTAGCTGCAAGACCTAGAAAGCCAGCTAGGCCACTGCTTTCTTAGATGCGAACAAGGCGGCTGGGTCTTCAAAACTCTGTCCAATCCAAAGAGAATGCCTAGAATTAAGGGACAGCTCCAAGCCTACAGGATAGGAAAAGGTCCACTCTTCACCCTCCCGACTGAACTGTGGTAGCCTGGGACCCGAGAACACGCTTAGTCAACTATGTTGATAAACACCAGAGGTGCACAGACCCCATGTACCTTAAGTGGCTCTTTTTCCATGATACTATGTGAAACACCGTGGAAACGATGAAGAGGGCACAGAGGCCCATCCCGTAAATCCATGCTGTTATCTTTTCCCAGCAGTCATCAGACAGCCGATGGAGGAGGGCACTGCCCACAATGGCTGGAACAATGAGGAACTGGGAGGAAGGGAAAGAGAAATGAATACTTTGGCATCTACGGGATCAAGACTTCCGCTTAAAAACCACAGAGGTTTGCCAATTCTTAAGTTTTAAGGAAACATTTGTCTCCCTTGGATAATCAAAACGAGAGGTAGATGAAGTTAGCCACGGCACTGGAAGCAGGTGTTCCTACTTCAGGAACTAGGCCAACCAATGGGTGCACAAACAGGACACAGCATTGCCCAACTGTTGCAAAATAGCTGTTCTTTATCCTAATTTCATTAAACAAGAGTGTATTCCATTCTCCTCTCTAATCTGATACAGAGTAGGCATTTAAAATATCCAAACATCAAGTATAATCTAGAATCACCAGAGAGGTCCTGATTCCCAAACATTCTATCCTGTCTGCAATCTTGCTATTTAAGTAAAGGACACATGAGTGAATTAAGTCCATATTATATTATATAAAACACCACACACACACACACACACACACACACACACACACACACAAATCAATTGTTGAATTAGAATATCCTGGTTTTTACTTTTAATTTCTTCATTTTTATGTATTTGAGAGTGTCTGCAGAACAAAGGGGCTGGCAGGCTTTCATCATTTTAAATAGTACATGATGAATAATCCATCCCTGAAGCCCAAAGTTTGAGGAAACCAAACTCTAAGAATTCTGATTGACCCCCCCCTCTCTCCCTCCCTTCCTCCCCTCTTTCCTTTCTAAGGACTAAGTTGGTAAGGACTACTTTGAGCTCTCCCTTCTCTATCTCCTAAGTGATGCCACAATGGTCAGTTTCTGTGTTATATTTTACACCCTAGACCCAAATTTCAACATCAGATGCCAGTTTTCATTGGCCCAGTACAAGACAAGAGCAGGGAGAGTAATAGTGTTTTGTTTTTTTTTTTTTTTTCATAAAGAAAAACTTGTCTGGAAAAAATATCCCTACAGATTATATCTCCTTTACTCTTGCTGTGTGAAGGCATCCTCTCTGTTTGTATTTGTTTGTGGTATTGTTGTGTTTTGAGACAGGCCTGCAGAATCCTTATTAGGCCTTCAAATTGCTAGCATGTATCACCACACCCAATAATACGTTCCCTTTAAAGAAATGATGGTGATAGATACTTTCTGTCTTTAGAAATATCGTGGGTCTATAATACTCCTGAATATGCATTACTTAACTAGATCACTTTTCTAAAACATTAGCATGGGGTTTTTATTGGTTTTAACTAAGTTGCCCTTTAAGCACTGTTCGTTCTGTTACTTGTGACTTGTGGAGAAGAGGTAAAGAGAATTCAGGCCCATCCTACACGAATGTTATTTCTGAAGGTAGGCTGTGTAACATCCAAACCACTGCACTGGCCCCACCCCATCTGTAATGTAAGCCTTGTCTAAATAGCTATCATTGAAGGAACAACTTCATCACCTTCCCTACCTCTTGCTTTCAGAATATCTCAGACATGGTTTCTCTCCCAAGGTCTCACAGAATGAAATTTCCAAAGAGAATAGTAAAACCAAAGGTAAAGGAAATGTATGACAGGAAAAATAATGACAGGAAAATGCAATGGTCACTATGAAGGTGAGAAGATTTAGCCTGTCCCTGTCTCAGAGAATCATTTGGTGAAACAAAACAAAAAACCCAAACAACGTCCGGGTGGTGGTGCACACCTTTAATCCCAGCACTTGGGAGGCAGAGGCAGGTGGATCTCTGTGAGTTCAAGGCCAACCTGGTCTACAGAGTGAGTTCCAGGACAGGATCTAAAACTACAGAGAAACCCTGTCTTGAAAAGCAAACAAACAAGAAAAACAACAATCCCAACAACAACAAACCCTCTCCCTTTTCAACAAACCATGACTTGCCCTTGCCAAATCAGCCCAGTAGCTAATTTCGTTCAAGGTGCCATAGCATTCATAAGCAAGCTTCTCCAGTGTCCCTTCACTAGGGTACTTACTTCCTCCTCTTCTTTTGAAGATGTATTGAGGCACGCATGGGCTACAGGTTAGAGTGTCCAGAGCACTCTCCATGCTCACAACTTTCAGATTGTGGTGACATAACCCACCACTGCCATTCAGGTACTTAAGGTCACAAGGCTGGGTAGTTCTAATCACTTGTGTTGACGTTACTAAAGAAGCCTTTTGTCCCACCAGAGCCCTGTGTAAAGGACAGCGACAGAGAAGTTTGTACTCACTGCATGTGTGTAGCAGTTAGCAGCATGTTCGTAGCAAGTTGGTTTGTAGCGGCCATTGGCTGGGGCCCGATGGTTCATGAAACTATGGAAACAGAGAAGCCATCACATGAGACACACGGGAAACCGACCATGCTGGAAGCCTGCAGTGGTTATTCAGTCTCTTCTAAATGAAAAGGTTGCTGTTATCAACAAGAAAACCAAAGCCATTAAAGAGGTGTCAACTTGGCCCACAGCATTGAATCGAAAGTAAACATCTAGTTTATTTGATGAAACAGCCCTTGAGTTTGCTCAATAGATAAACCTCGTGCCAAGCAAAGGCAAACAGAAACTATATCAAACTCAGCTGTGCACCCCAAATCAAAGGAAAGATTTCTGTTCCCCCCAGCCCCCCCAACTTTTAGTTATTGTCATTAAACAAAAGGGTACACATTACATTTGAAAGGTTTCTGCTTTCTCACTCGAGACACGCAAAGCTTTCTGTATGCAGATCTGTACAGCCTGCATCCCACATTAGAGGGCCTGCCAGACTAGTTTTCCTGTATTGTATTACCTGTTCTGGCACCAGGCAGCTTATTTGATACCTGGCTACATCCAGGCCACCTAAACAAGTAGACACATTTTCACCTCCATTCTCCCTGAGTGAGAAGAGTTTGCTTCAAATACTGCACATATTATTAGTACTTGATGCTGTGGCTTTAAAACACATACACGCAGCCTGGCAAAGTTGCAGAGATGCTCATGGTCCAGGCTTCCCTTCAGGCTAACCTTACCATAATCAGCAGAAGGATGAAAACATGCATTCCAGAGGACTGCTGTTCTATTCTAGCAAGTGGGTGAGGAGAACTCTCCAAAACTAACCCCACATTCACGCCAGGCTTGGTGATGTCTGCATCATTCTGACTATTCTCTGGAGGCTAACACACACACACACACACACACACACACACACACACACACACACACACACACACAGAGAGAGAGGGGGGGGAAGGGAACAGAATAAAAGAGCAAAGCAGTAGGCAAAGAGAAACATATGGGTAAAGGCCTTGACAGCTTTGAAATCCCAGCACTCTACCTGTCAATATGTTCAGTAAACCCCCCAAAAGAAACCCCAAAACCAAATAAACAAAACAAAACAAAACAAAACAAAATAAAAAGCTATTTTTTAATCCAGATAGTCTAGAGGTCATTTTTGTTTGTTTGTTTGCCAGTATCCAATCTGACCAATCTTTAAACTTTTTTTTAAACAAAAGACAAACAAATATTCTCCCCCGTCGCATTAGGGGGAACCTGGTTTCCTCAGATCAACCAATGAAAGACACAACAGGTAGTCCCCCAAAAGTCCATACCCAGTGCATAATGGACATGGGACAGTGAAGATGCTTCACTTGGACTAGAGACTTAGCTAGGCCCTAAATGAACTAAGTGTATCCACTGGCCAGCTTGAAGAACAAATGATCCACCTAATAGCTTCAGAATTTATCCAAGATATCCTCGAACTCGGATGTGCATGTCCCAGCCTACTCTCCTTTCCCCTGGTAATCCCCTAAATTATATCACTCATTTCCTATGGGGTGAGAGAGCTGCTGCGCAGCTCTCATAAGCAAAAAGAAAAATAATTACACCCCGGGGAGGAAGGCTTTCATACTGCCCCAAGCACCTGAGGATCCACCACATCCTCTCCCTGAGAGGAAACAACTGAGCTCCGAGGAGGAGGAACTTCAAAGGGTGGAGAACGAGCTTCCAAAATGGTTGAGGATGGATGAAACGGGAAGTGCTCCGTGTAGGGTGAAGTAGGAGCTGTCTACCCACCACCAGGCTGAGGACTAAAATAGCAACTTGTATCTCAAGCAGCCCCAGTCTAAAAATAGTCAGACCATTACAGAGCGTGGGGGAATAGACTTTCACATTTTCTCCTGCAAGTGAAGAAGCTGCATGGCATGGCCACGTCTGCTGGTCTCTGCCCGGGCGAAACAATTCAGGTTAAAAGTAAAGTGGGAGGGAGGGGAGATGGCTTACTAGGTAAAATATTTGCTATGCGAGCATGGAGACAAGTTCAATCCCCAGTATGCATATCAAAAAAAAAAAAAAACAATAAGTTAGCATAGGTATATGCACCTGTAGTCCTAGTGCTATGGAGATGGAGACAGGCAAATCCCCATCACTGGTCACTTAGCCTAGGTTACTTGGTAAGCTCCAGATTCAGTGAGCTCCTCAGTCTCAGGAATTATTGGAGTGATTGAAGAAGACACCTGTAGCTGGCCTCTGGCCTCCATGGGCATGCATACAGTACACATGTGCACATGAACACAAATACACACATCTGTGCATACACACGCAGAGGACAAAGAAAGAGGAAAAAAAAATAAGGAGAGGAGGAGGAGAGGAGAAGCTATAGAGAAAGAGATTCCTCTCTTGTGGCCAACATACCCTGTCCTGATAGATGGATGGGTTTTATACTATAAACAAAGGGGGAAAGCAACTATCCTGGGAGCATTTTACTGTCTGGGGCTCAGTGAGAAAAGACAATACAGTTCTGCTGGGAAATGATAATACAAATTTTCAATTTCTCTCCATCTGCCAGAATGCAATCAAGCCTCCTTCTCCAAGTTTCTGAAGAAACCATTCCTGAGGCCTAAATGGAAAAGCAAACGCAAAATGCAAATAAACTCCTACACCCTAAGCCTATTCTCTCCAACCCCAAAAGACTGAGAAAGGTTTACATATGAGAGAAAAAGGGCCCTCATTTATTGAAATCATTTCTACCTAATGAGAAAGCAACATAATGGCTACTCAGTGCCCTGGGCAGTGGAGCCAGCATGCAGGGGTACCCAACCTCCTGACACTGTGACAGGATACTGTCATCTACAGGTATCCTAGGCCTCATTCACAGCTATCCTGAAATATACGTGGGCCATGGACTGGATTGACACGCCTGCAGGGGCTCTGATTTAGTTCTGAGTGTGGCAAACACATTTAACAAGATGAATAGTGAAGTAGGGCTTAGTCACTTCCTTTTTCAATATTCTCTTTTGCCTCAGGCTTTTGGGTTATTCTTATATGTTCTTTGCCCCACAGTATTCCACAGCTATGGAGGGAAAGAACAGTTTGTCGCCAATCTTTATACATCATTAGTACACTAAATCCAGATCCAAGCACTGGGCTCTGCAGGTCTGCAACTCATCTAGCAGAACTCATAGGCATAAGACCAAACCCCACAAGTTGAGTCTCCTGTGTTCTCCACTCCCCAAGTCCAAATATTGTCTTTCAAAGTATATTCCAAATCAGCTCACCACAGCAACTCCATAGTACCCAACAGAAAACAAAGGCAGGATGCAACATCTCCTGTGAAATTGTAGCCTCATAACTGGCCCTGTTGCCTGTCCCAATGCAGACTCTTCTTCATATGGCAGCCATAACTCTCTATTAAAAACAGATCAATCGTGCACCTCTACTTAAAACTATCTTTCAGCTTCCCAGAATGCTTAGGGTAACACTTCAATGCATTCCCGACTCACAAGCCTCGATAGCTACTCCCACCTTCTTGTCTTATCTGCTTGAGGGCACCGGCTCTTTACTTCTCCTTAGAACATTACAATTGCTTCTCTTCCTTCCAGCTAACTCATGTCACTTGCTAAGAGATTTCCCAGACATCACCAGTACCACTTTGGCCTTCCCACCCAAGAAGAGTACATGCTGTAACAGTAAGAATTTGGTTCCTAAACATATTTTTTTAATTCCGTCTTTTCACACTAACGCAAATCTACAAAGGTGGTCTTCACTATTTTATTTCCAGTTTCAAGCACAATACTCATCTTTTGCTGAAGCTTAATAATTGTTGAATGGACGGATGCAAATACAGCCCTCCCAGCTACAGAGATAACCCATAATCAATTTGCTTTTAGTAGAGCCAAAAGAACCCTGAGTCTTATGAACACAAAATTCAAAGGCCATTGCAATGGATATCCTCAAGGCCCCTTCAACACCACTGGATGCTGCAACTTTAATTGACCCTATGCATAGCACCCTGCTACCACACTAGCTTCCTCCTAGGCCTGAGCATGGCATTTCAGGCAGTGCCACTGTCAGTGATGGCACCCTTGGCAATTACTAAAGGAAGGAGGATAGAAGACCACCCCATTCTGTGGCTCAATGCTCTAAGAACCGGTCCAAAAGACATCAGACATGTTTTTGGTTTTGAAGGAGATGCTTTTCCAAGCACTCAATCTAAACTCTAATCAGTAGGGTAGTCACAGCTAGGGCTGAGAAAGAACGATCCTTTTCCAGTGGAGAGACAGAAAGGGTGAGCGAACGGTGGCTGCAGAGATGCAAAACTGAACTCCAAGGTCTGCCTCTGCCAACCTGTACCACTTGGGGCAAGAATTTTGTTACTCTCTAAACTTATCTGCTTTTCCATTACTTGTAAGTTGAAAAATATGCAAGTACCCAGCCAGTCACTGGCACAAACCAAACAGGCTGTAACTGAATGGTAATAGTTACTATCATGTCAGAGATGTTAGAGAAGTGTGTCTCTGTGTGTGTGTGTGTGTGTGTGTGTGTGTGTGTGTGTGTGTGTGTGTGTGTGCAGGCACATGCTTAGGTGTTTGGAGAGACTAGACAGAAAGGAATAAAGCAAGGCACAAAATATGCTGCATCCCAGAGGAATTTTCTTTCACACCCTAAGTTTTTTGTTTTTTAGGAGCCACGATTGTTATAATTGTTCCCTTACAATCTTCCTCCATATAAATGGCAGAAGTCTGGAAGAAGATCCAAAGCCACAGACAGTAACCGCCCAGTTTCCACTTTGAGTGAATCTGCAAGGTGTTCTTTTATTTAGGCAGAGCATAAACTATGGTCTAACGAACTGTTCCTCAATGGAGTCCCAACACATCTATCAGGAAAAAGAACATATTGTTCAAAGACAGTGCATTAGTAGTGGAATACTACTTTCAACATTTTGATGTGCGAATCACAATCATCAGGACTTTTCTAACATTACTTTGTATTTGCAGACTTATTTTCAAGTCAAATTGATGCTTATAAATAGTCTTCCAATCTAGACTATACTAGAAAAGCAGGTAATGAAGGGATTACGTCAATCAAAATCAAAGGAGACCTAGGGATCAAGAAAGACACAACTAATATTTGTGGAGTACAATAACATGTAACCACTCAAAAAATTACATTTTATGACACTCCAAAAGATAATCCCTGTGTTTTCTAATTTTTGAATAGGTAAAAGATTCCAAAATAGGATGAGAGAAAATTCTGCCCATCAAAGAGATTGCTCAATCAGCTGAAGTGGCTTTTATTTTTCCATTACAGAGCTCTTTGAATGTTGGTGCAACAAACAAAACCAGACACTTTCATTCTTTTTATAGACGTATTCAAAGGGACAGAAAAGAAATACAAACTCTTCATCAAAAAGGGAAGGGGTAATTTTTCAGAACATAGCCACTGTTCTCTGAAAGCAGGAAGCCCACAGACATGCAGAGAAAACCAAACCAAATAAACCACACACACAGGGCATGAGGAGGTTCACACACATTACAGTCTCTCTTAAATCCATGAGGTTCTAAACAAGACCAAGTCCCTTTTGCCTTTGGCATGGATTCTGAGTTCCCCTCCAAGAATAGTGTCAGGCATTCAGCCACCAAATAACAAGCAATATTCAGAAGGCAATCCAAATCTTCAAGCTGAACCCCCTCTACTGATGTCAAAGCCCACACTCATCCTTTGTATGCATACTGGCTCCTTTCCTTTGGGGCTGGGGAGGAATGAGATAAGCATTATTAATGGGTTAAATGACCAGATAGGGAAACTAAATTGTAGATTTACAAAAAAAAAAAAAAAAAAAAAAAAAAAAAAAAAAAAAAAAAAAAAAATACTTCAAACTCAATCAATAGCCTGCATGGATGATTTCATGCATTTCTGCTTTTGGATTCCCTGGCACCTCACAGTAAGCTAGCCTGTTGGTTGTGAAGGACTGTGAACGGGTATGGCTGCCAGGCTCAGACAAAGGGATGGAGAGTTACCAGAAACCCGACGGGTGAACTTTCACCCACTTAAAAGAAATAGAAAAGCCCAGAGCCTTCTTTAGGAACAATAGGCCAGAGCCTTCATCTCATCATTCCTTCAGGACAGGTACACACAGAGAAGGGCCACTGTGCCCCTCTAGTTCGGGCGTCCCCAACACCTCTCCAGTGTAGAGCAGCCGACCCACCTTCCGGTGGCGCCTCCTTTCTCCCCATTTCCTAAAAATAGGCTTCTCAAAGGCAAGTCTCTCCACCTGAATGCGAACTTACCCCTGCCAAAAGCCCCCAAAGCACACTATTGGGCTCTTAGAGAACCCCTAAACCTGACACCATCGGGCAAAGCTGGACGCAGGGAAGCGTGCCTCAGTTTCCCTGTATCTAGGGCCAGTCACAGACAAAACACCTAAAACGCTCAGGCCAGACCCCCTACCGCACTGTAAAACAAACCTCGCCACAGTGTGTGGGAGCAGCCCCAAGAGACCTCACACTGGGGTTTGTACAAGGATGTTTGCATAAGTGGCCTCGAGGGGCTTTGAGGCTGGGGTAAGGCACTTGGAGCTAGAAGAAGCCGTGTCTGCATGAGGAGCGCAAGGGCCAAGCTGGGTGTGCAAGCCGATGGAGGAGGCAAGGCAGACGCGGAGTCCCGGGGCACAGATCTCGAGCGGCTTGGAGGAAAGGGATCGCAGGATTGAGGGTCTCCCTGGGAGCTGGTCCCGGTCAGGGCTCGGGATTCACCGGGATGGAGCACGCGCCCTGCAGCGCTCTCACCGCTGGAATCGATTCCTGAACCGCATTGATCCTCCGCTCCTCCGCGGGGGCCGGGAGC